GACGGACACTGCTCCGTCGACGGCCGGGGAGTTGGGACCTACCAATCTTTCCGTCGCCGCCGTCGATGCTCCGTCGACGGGCCTTCCGAAGTTTTTAACGGGAAATAATCGACGCCGTCGCCGCCGTCAACATTTTCCCCCTAGTGCGAACAACCTGTGTGCGTCTACTGTACTCAGACTTGGGGCCCCCCTGGGCCTGTTTCTAGCAACTAGAGCGAGGTATTGCCAGTGCGAAAACATTGCGCGAGTGCCGCGCGGCTGGCCGCCGGCGTCGAGTATCTGCTCCATGACGTCACAAGTTCGGAGTGCCAAGTGGGCTGGTGAGCTGACTTGTCATGCCAGCTGGCAGCTGCTTCGCAGAGCCTCCAAACTTCAGCATGATGGCGCAGCTTGAAGTTGCTGCTTTGCAGGATCGCGTCTGCTGCGTCTGCAAAAGATCTTGGAAGTTTCAACATCTTTCAAAGTTCTGGTGCTGTTCTTCAAAGCAAAATTTGATCCACTTCTGCGATTGAAGCGCATCATTGTACCTATCTTAGTACCGTTTTCCTAGCACCTCCCTTACTCTCTGACCCGCGCTTTGCTTTGTGATTGTGCTGTGCCAAGATGGTGACGTTCGTGGGCCTCGTGGCTGGCCTTATCAGCAAGCTCACCTTCCTTGTTGGGTGAGTTTCGAATCTGTGATGATGAAGGTGGTACCTTTCCTGCTCGTTGACCATTGAGTTTGAGAGCTTTTCAGACAGTGTTCAAGTCCTTATCAGCAGTCAGTTTGCGTTGCATGAGGCCTTCTTTTAGACCTCCTCATTTCAGAATGCTCCTTGCCTCAGGCGCTGACTGCGATCCATATCCTTGCAGGCCGTGCGCAGGCCTGGCCTATCCTCTGTGAGTCATCACTCCCGCTGCCACTCCGCTGTTTCGTATACTTGTCTGCAGCTCTGCACTTGTACCAGCGTAAATTCAGTTTGATTGAGCTTGAGCACGCTGCATGCATGATTTACTCTTCCTTGACCACTTGCTCTTTCAACTGATTTGTTGAGGCTGTTGCAACTACTTCTTTCTTGGAAAAGGTTTATTTTTGTTGAGGCAGAATAAGTGGCAGGCCAATGCAGACTCCTTTGCACATGCACCTTTTTCCAAGTATTCCACTGCGCCCTCTCTGTCCGAGTGAGCAAACTATGCTGTTCTGCAGGCTCATGTCCTTCAAGGCCCTCGAGTCTCCTCACAGAGAGGACGATGAAAATTGGCTCACCTACTGGGTAAGCAGGAACTTGGAACAGCACGGTTGACATGATGCGGCCTTGGTGCAACAAATCTAGGCGAAAGTCGCCCTCTGGCTGGCTGTTACGTTTTGCTTGTGGATACATAAAAGGTATGTTTGAATGTTGGCGACCTTGGAAACTAGTGCCTCATTCTCAGCAGTGGCGTATTGAGAGCTTTCTCTCAATCATTTTCTCGGTGTGTGATTGCAGGTCATTTACTCCCTGCTGTCCTTCTTTGAGGCTGTTGCTGCTCCCATCATTGCATGGTGAGGCCATGCCTTTGCAGTATGAAGTAGAGTTGCAAGCAAGGAAGTCATAGAATTGTCGTTAGAATGGATCATCCGTACTGATCAAACTGCTCTTGCAATCTGGCTATAAATTTCAATGTCAAAGAGTTATGCTGCTTCCAAAATCTCGCATTGGTGGCCTTCTTACTTACAATGACTTGCTGATTACTTTGCACTGAAATTCAAAATTACAAGTCTAAAAGCACTCCTGACGAACAGTCTGCTAATATGCGCAGGATTCCCCTTTACAACCAGCTCAAGCTGGCACTCATCCTCTGGCTCGTAATGCCGCAAGTAAGCGCTTGCTATTTTGGTATCTACATGTGCCAGGGCGCTCCTCTTGGGGTTTCTTGCGACTGGTGTGCACCCTGATGTTAGAATCACAGGTGGCTTCAGTGGATGTTGGTCTTGCATTCTGAAGCAGCTTCTACTTGTCCAGCACCCTGCCTTCACTCTGCACCCGTTTGCCCGACATGAGACAATGCAGTGGTTGCCTGTTGTCTGACGACTGTTTGAGGTGTTTGATTTAGTTTGCACATTTTCAAAACAAGCTTAGCAAACTACTGTAAGATTGGCCTCCCTGTTTGGTTGCAGTTCAATGGTGCTGCGTACATGTACCGTCAGTTCATCGACCCGGCGCTGCGCGAGTATGGTGACAAGCTTGGCATTGAAACCTCCCCACGTCCTAACAACAGTGTAAGCAGACGCTGAGAAGATACTCTTGTCCTCTAGGAACATAATGTCCTAGGCCTAGCAAAGCTACTGAGACCTGCTTACTCAAATTCCATGGAGCACTCTAACCCAGTCTATCGCCCAATAGAACCTTCTCATTATGTAGTTTTACTACTGCCTGTCATCGCTTTTAACTGAGATTAATCCGAGGTTGATCTTTAGAGAGCACTGCAATGTCCAGTGCACCAGAGCAGTTTTCGCATTGGACGTTGTCCACAGCATTCCAATGTCAAGAGCAACTTCTCCGCATTATGGAGCAGCGGGTTCTTTGCCCAGGGATAGGGCATTTGCAGGATGCTCGAAGTAATTTGAGACGACTTATTGGCTTAACGATTCCCAATTTCCAGTGGTTCTATGTCACGTCCTTCTCTGGCACAGCCTGATACGTTGATCACTTCTAATCTTCGCCAATTGTTTGGTATGTATTTGTAATCCAACCGTTGGAATGAAGAAGACCATGCACCAGTCCCACCCATGGGGGAAGAAGCTTCTTTTCCTGACGAGAGTACAATCTTTTGCGGTGTTATCTGATCCTCCTTTCCCTTTCGTGTCGTGCAGCAGCAGATCCTGCAAATGCTAAGCCCTGACGCGAAGTCTGGGATCGCTGAGTTTGTGTCGGAGCATGGTTCGGGGGCGTTTGATCAGGTCATTGCAGCGGTGAGAATTTTCAAAGACCAGAGCTCTTTGGCCTCTCAAGCTATGAGCATGGTTATGTCTTTCACTGCTTCTCTTTCACTGCTTTTTCCAACACACGCTGGCACTCTGAATGTTCAGGCTGAATAAGGCTGTGCATGTTGCAAGCGTCCCTTTCCGCATTTGTATCAAGTTTGTAGTTTGCAGAAGCTGCCCATCATCCTGTCAAACGCTCTTTAATTTAAGGGATGTGATCAAGGGTTTCATGGCAGACGTTAATTGCGTTTGCAGGCCAACACAGAAGCCAAGAAGGCGAAGGCCTCTCGGAGAGTGGGCGGATAAAGGAAGCATTTGCAGGGACGTTGTAGTAAGGACGAGGCTGCCGGAAAAACTGAGCTAGAGAGAATTTAGGAGCGTGGCCGAGCTGTCTTAGTGGCTCGGTTGTGTATGATACACTGTACATCATATAAATGGAACATTAGCTACCGCTTGCTTAGGTAGGTTTGAAACGGCTCGCTAAATCGTTCGAAGTTTCGTCGAAGTCACATGGCATGTTCAACAGCATCCAAACAGGTCTCGAAACAGTGTCTACCACTTGCATCTTTCATTTACATACTGCAAAAATGAATACAACTTGTGTTCCGACTTTGTCTTTGAAATGAAGAAATCTTCTTTGTGTCTTTGATTTCCCTATGATGAGCCGGAATAGCGTAGGTTCATACATCTATTGCCAGAAACAACCAACCTGGCCCTGCAAATCGCATGTCAAAATCCGTGTCGGTTGCCATCTTAATGATACACGTTAGCATAACGTGAACTGTATTGTTGCCAATAAACTTCGCAAACATCTGGTCAATTGTTTGTGACGAAGTTATTACCACCATTGACGACCTGCGCTGCTCATCGCATACCTGTGTCGAAATCGGCGACACTTATACTCCATAATATTCAAGGTCCAATACAACATCATAGCGTTGTAGAAGAAGCTTGCGGACCCGCCCCTATCTTTCTAACATTTCAAGATTCGATCGAAGCGATAAAGTGTAATCTTGCCCGTCAAATTCATCATCGACGGTCCGCGCAGCCCTCAGGCAAATTGAGGCAATTTGCAGTGTCATTCGACCTAGACCGTACAAAACTTGGAAATCGAACCGCCGCGCACGTAGGTACTTATATTTTGACACGCGGCGCGCGGTGAAGTCAGCCAGCGCGACCGCAACGTACGGAACTAAGGTACGGAATTATTATCTGACAATTAACCTCTACAGTACATGCAACTTATTTTGGCCGTTGCGCGTACCGAGTATTAAAAGTCACGCGAACGTGTAGAGGATCCGGATCATTTGAATCCTAGCTTGCAACTCGGTCTGCGACTGCAGCTAAGGCACTTCGGCCGGTCAAAAGAGCGCGGTAGACTTTGAACCGGTACCACGACCGGCCACACTGCTAGTAC